TTATTCATTGTAATTATTAGAATGGCTTAAATTTATTTTCAGCTGAACTAGTATTTAGTGGTGCTCTTAGACAGACAATCATCTTGTTCAAATCAATTAATATGTCTGCATGACTCTTGAAGAGAGCCGTGAGTTTCTTACAAGAAATGTTCTCGTTATCCTCTTGATTCAGCATTGTTATTAAATGAATTTTGCAACAGTTCAATTGGAAGATATTATGGTCCTCTTACTTCTTGTTGCCTGAAGAAGTAAGGACACATTCTTGTTCTAAAGACAATTTCAAAAATAATTTATATATATGTACAGTGTAATGATGAGTGTGATGTAAATATAATGTGAAAGGTGAAAGATTTTTCTATCAAAATAGTGATATTAGTGACTAACTTGCCAATTTTGAACAGGATAGTAATTTGCTGGAGGATAATGTTCGGTGCAACGAAAAATGAAAGTCCTTATAGCATTGCTTAAATTTCAAAATGGTGGTGATGTCACACACAAAGCACAACCAGTGCCTATGTCGTGTCTTAGGGAAAACAAAGCTGCCGTCCACAATGCCTGTTGTACCTTTCCCTCAAGATTTGTATAAAGATAAAAGTTAAATGTGCATCATGTAGAATCCTCATAGTGACTCTGCTGACTTAATTCCATAAACATCAGAAACTTAGTCTTAAATTGATCAACACCATCTGCACGTTCTGCTAACTGTATACACTTGTGTTCAGTTCAGTACACAGTAATTTACACATATCGTAGTGTATAGCTTTTTATGCTCATGATGTTAAAAAATGTCAGCGAAAAATAACAAAATATTTGTAGCATTGTGAAAGTACCTCTTGTGTACTTAAGTAACCAAGATAACATGTCTTCTGATTTTGGTAAAAACTTACTTCTGTACCAAAGATATAAAGAGACTGGCAACAGTTCTCAAGACTTCCAAAATATATACACATACAGATAGGCCATGATAGGCCAGTTTCCTAGTGCTTGGCAGCCTGTAATTAATTAGATTTGTCATTCAAGTGCTCAGTAGTCTGGTGAGCTATGTTAAATTTAGGCTCCTATGTATTAATATTACTTGCACAAACGTAGAGCAATATAATTGGTCTCTTGATTTTGCTCTCCATCTTTTGGATTATATTGTATGCTTGATCATCTCAGTTGTCTTACTGTTATTCATCAGAATTTGAAGGAATTAGGTTGAATGGCTAAAGGTTTTTTGATTTCTGGAAAAATAACTGAAATAGCATTGCCATTGTCTGTTTTGGAGCATTTCCTAAACTTTGTGAACTCTTGAGATCCAGTTGTGAAGGTTGGTGGTTTTATTTTGTTTTAATAAACAGTTAAGATAATATATTTTTAAAACATGTATTTACAGCTTAATAGAAGTTATAAATAAATAAATATTTTAAAATCAAAAACCATATCACCAAAATATTAAAAATAAATATTCTGCAGTTGTGGTAAATGTACTGAGTAGCCATTCATAAAATGCCAAGATCCACACTCTATTATGCATAAGATCAATGCATGTGAAAGTTTTTGTTCATAGTTTGAAATATTTAATGTAACACTTCAAAACAGTACTCTTATTACAATTTAAGATTATGTAGAATATTTCTAAATTTCTTGTTTGGTCATATGTTGTTCTGTACAAAGTTGATCTTTAATTTTGGGTATTTTAATTCCCAAGTGAAATCTGAATACGATTCTTGTTTGTATTCACATGTTTATATTCATGACTTATCTTTGGAAAATTACAAAATTATGTAAAAATGAAAGGTTGAGGAAAAGTCACAATACAAATAAATGACCATACATTGTTAATCAAAGTATATTCTCCTGATACATTCCATTCCTTCACTAGTCCTTTTGTTGGATATGTCTGATCCTTTTAGTAGAATTTGAAGTCCTCTACCTTTCTTGTTGCAGTATGACTGATTTTCATATGGCGGACTACCAAAATCATCAGGCAGGGTGCTTGAACTTTGGGCTAGTATGATAGATTCTTTATACAGGGCACTACTTAGGGAAGGATACCTATAGAGTGCTCTCGCTCTTTGATAGAGTGGAGGTGTATAGAGTAATGGTACTAAGTGGTTTCACATATCTTTGCATATAGCATTTGTTTGCATGAAATTCATTTGAATACTATGTATTTTACCACAAAATCTGAAAGAGTATCCTAAGATTCACAAACATGTATATGGTAAGGTGGTTGTGTATATTTATTTGCTGTCAAGTACAGTATTATGGTGTAAATGTTTCTAAATTAAAATTCACTTAAATATATACAGTGTTAATAAAACCTACTGTTCTAGAAGAGTTCCTAATCCTTTGGTAAGTCATCACAAAAAATGTTAGCCCCTGGTTAAACCTTTGACACCTTTTTGCCTTAAACCGCATATACTCACTCCCTTCTTCCTCCTTCACTAGTATTATTGACTCCTGTAACTCATTAACTCTCATAAAGTCTATGCACTCAACCAATCCCCTTGTCTGT